GCGAGCCACTCAGAACGGCGCGCATGGGGAGGAGAAGGATAGCGCTTGAGCAGTAGGCTGGTCGGATGCTTGTATTCACCTATCTTTAAACATTAATATCTCGTTAAATATTGCGTCAACTGCAAAATGGTACAAAACTGTTTTGTTCCCCTTGATCCAATCTACGTCCCCATTGTGTTTCGATCCGTTTTTTTGAGACACCCTGTATATATATATTTTTTTAAGAAGAATATTAAAAATAATAAAATAATGAAGACGCATGACAAATATAAACAATTGTATCAACATGTCTTACATGTAGGACTGCATCTGGTTTTATTTTTACACATGCTAATGATGATTTGTCGAAATCTTTGGAATAAAAATGCATGGAGCATATGACTGCATTTTGCTTTATAGAATTTTCCGGAATGTTTAATGCTGCATACCATGGTAATCGTCTTATTTTATTGTTTAGGAAACTGTAAAATATATTTATTTTATTATGATTAATATATAATTGTAAGTAGTAATTTACATTTTATTTTATAATTTACCAGATAGCACAATGTTCAAAATAAAGAGATAAGACGTCTTTAAAATATCTTCAAGATATCTTAATGTCCCAATGGACATATGTGCTGTATAATTGTTATATTATACACTTACACATGAAATGTTACTTTTTGTTCTTTTTCTATTTTTTCTTGTTGTTTAGATTTATGAAATGTTCTATTATTGCATCCTACTACTATACATGATGGCATTTTTACTGTAAAAAGATATTAAAAGTTGAAAAAGCATCTTAAGGGGATGCTAAAGTTGTTCTACTTTACCATCATTTCCATTCGGTGAAATATCTCCGAATTGAATTGACGGATTGCAAAAAATTGTTTTACAGAATTAAAGTACGCACAAACAGGACCTCAGCTATATCGGATTTTAGGAGAAAATCGAAGAAAAGTTTAAAAATTCTTACTTTTAGCTCGTGTATATATATATATATATATATATACAGTTGACACCTCAGGTCTATATTTGCTTCATACAAGAAAGTTTTATAGTTTATATCTTGAAAATAAGCATAGGTCTGAGGTCACATTATTGTAACGAACGATACCAAGTTTATAGAACTAAGATTGAAAGTCTAGAAGGAAAGTAATCCTACCGAATAGAAAATACGTGTATACGGGTACTTTGCGAAGAGTGGGACTGTCAACAAAGTCGAAATTCCGTGTAGTAATAGTTGCGCGGTCTTGCGATAGATGGTGCTGGCATATGTTAGATAAGGACAGATGTATGCGTTTAAATGAGATAGAACGATATATAATATAATGTAAGAAATGAATCAAAGATGTCACTATTATCGAATTTGGAATTAAAAAAGTCTGCACTATCGACCTCGATCAAGTTCGGTAATCAGTTTAGGATCCCCTTAAATCCAATGAGTTCTTCCACGAAATTCTGTAAAGTAATACTCTAGATTGCCGACTAGATGACAGCACTAATGTCGCTGAGAAAGATAATTGACCCCCCCTCTACTCACTTCATTATTAAGTACTAGGCTCCGTCCTTTAAGTCCGTGCGTTAAACCGGTTGAAGACCGTTTACACGATTTTCGTAAAACGGTTTAGTAATGCCAAACCTGTTTCGGAAAAGGTTTGGATTTATTAAAACGGTTTTAATAACATCTGTATTAAGAGACGTTTACAGGACATCTAACACCGGTTTTAATTAAAACGGTTTTTATTAAAACGGTTTTACAGTGCGTGTAAACGTAGTCTATATCTTAAGACTACTAATACGGCTCTCTGATTGGTTCATGCATCAGCTTAAGACCATCTCGAATCTTGAGCAACGTCTATGGATTCTATCCTTTGACCACAGAATACAGAAATTACAAATCACTGATTTATTTCAATTGGTATCATATTTTTATCTTTATGCTTAAAGTTCAACAAAACTCACATTGCATTGTGAATTTGAATATAATTTACCTATTACTTTTTTTTTTATTAAGAATACGGAATAATTAAGAATACGGAATAATTAAGAATACGGAATAATACGTGTAAATGATAAAATTCAGCAATTCAAAAGTAACAAAAAAAAAACAGCAAGGCGTCAATCTTTTTTGTTTTGTCAATATTTAAAAATATTGTATACACTGCGTGGATTTTGTATAACATAAAGTTCCCGGGAAAAAATGTTTCACATATAATTATATACAAAATATGTCCATATATAGTATTTTTTCCGAGTTATTATAAATACGACAAGACACTATTAAAAACCGTCAACCCTAAACAAATTTTTAGCGGTATAAAAAGAGCCATACGGGCCCGGAAGTAATTGAACAATGACATTATCGACAATTGATAAATTTGCTACTATTAACATAAATTAATATTTGGTTAATACATTATTAAATTTATGATTTTTTATTACATAAAGGCTCCATAAATAAATATGCATACTTGTAAAGCTGTAATATCCTATATGTCGAAAAATTACAATTTTTTCTTTGCAGTTATCATCTCCGTTGCTAATCAAACTTTGACGATAACACTGAAATCACAATTTTAAAGAAAAATCGAGTATTATTGAGTTTTAAATGCATATACACCGATAAACCTGTCTACTAAACTAATAAATCATAAAATTAGTACAATATTATCAGTTTTTTACTCTTAATCACTTCAATATTAACAAAGATGCGAATTCTCATAAGGATGTCGGTCTTTAATAGTATCTCGTCGATGTTATAAACTAATAAACTAATAATCACTTATTGTAACACATTCATCGGAGAACATTTACTTATTTTGTAGTATGCGTTAATGCCGTTAATATTTCGACAGTTGAATGATCGGCGCACGGCCTTGGGGATTGTTTTGGCGCGAAAAGGCAGGCGATGCGTTACGTTTATGCGTCATTCCATTACCGAGGCTCATACAAGCAGGTAGCCATGTCGCGTGCCGCTCTTCTTCACATTTCTTTTTAAAATATAATCGCGATAAATGCTAGATAATACAAAACGTCGTATCTTAGATTAAAAAAATTTACTTAAAAAATTAAATAAGAAATATAAGTAAGAAAAAGTTTTCTAAAATAATAAATACTAAATAACTGCTTTATTTTTTTATTTATTTTATTTTATTTATTTTAGATTATTTATTTTATTTGATATTAGTTTTATTGTTATAAACAAAAATTTTAAAAATAATAAGAAAAATCTGATTTTTTAATATAAAATTTTAAGTACTAAAAATGACTTATGCAAAGTTTCATTATTTGTTTATTGATTTCACAAGGTTGATAAATATTTAATTTCAAAACTTTTTTTAAATTTGGATTTTATTTTGAATATCAAAAAGTCATTAATAATTTTGAATGACTTCTAATTAAAAATTTGATGTTTACAATAATCATCAATTTTTCTTTGTATTTAGTATAGAAATTTATTAAATAAGTCAGTAAAGATTGAAGCTTTGACTGAGGCAATGGTTAAATATTAACTTCTTGTTTGCTTTTCGACATTTATATTTTTAACATTACAGAATTACAAGTATATCTTAATGATTGATTTATTATATGCAAAGACCTCATCGTTGT